TTTTCTAGTCGTATTTGGCTATTTGCGGATCTGATGTATAATTAATTAGATTAAGAATCCTAAAATTTCATACTCTCTTTACTAAAATAACTATCATCATACGCAATCACGAAAAGTTCAGGAAGGAAGGAAAAAAAAAAAACGTGACCACAATGTGGAGAGCAATGTATCTTTCCCCTGATAATAGTTATCACACTTTGTCTCCCTCTAAAAATCTGTTATCATATGTGTTATCTTCATATAGTTTAAGACACTAAATTCTTTGGTTGGATCATCATTTATTGGATTAAAGACGGATTGGCTGTATCGAACAGATTTCTGTGAAGTCCTTTAATGGTATAACGAGACTGACTTACATGTTTTCTAAGATTTTTGAAAAAAGTATGATGCGTGTTGGCTTTATTGGGGCGGGCCAAATGGCGCAAACTTTGGCCAAAGGTATAATAATTGGAGGTAAGACTGGTGTAATTTTATATTTTAAAACAATAATATTACTGAATATCTTTCGTTGATTTCTTATTATTGATTTAATATTTTCAACTAAAACAAAATGTCTTATCGGCATTTGGATTGGATAATTACCACCACTATAATATTAGAAGAAAAATCGGTTTATTACTTTGATATAGTTTGATAGATCAAGATATTTATTATTTGATATAGTTTGATCAAGAATATTTTCCTAAATAAATAGCAAAAAATTCGTGAAAATGAAAAACATTTAGCACATTTTGTATTGATAATTTTTTTTTATGGTCGGAATAAGCTTTTTTTCTTAAAATAACATTTTTAATACTCACAAACTCGATAATTCATTCATTTTATTGAAGTATCTAACTTATAATGCAGGTTTGTAAGTTTAAATCTGTAAGCTCAAAATGTCTTGCTTAATTTCTGTCTGTTTATAAATTTAAATACAGGTTTAAGAATTTTGTGGGCATAGTAATTAAAATACAAACTTAAAAATTTAAGTCTCTTTTAACTAATGTAATTTCCATTACAAGTGTATTTTTTTAATGACGTTCATAGTTTTTCATTAATTAAATGTTTAAAGCTGTGTGACTATAAGGATATCTTCCGTTCAATATTGCACCACTTGCGTACTACCTTTAAAAAAAATCCTATACGTGTTACTAAAACTACACCAATATTACATAATCTGTATCATTTTAACTAAACCTTACTAAAATTGAATGAAGTATTTAAATGTTGTTTTTTTTTCATGTTTATTTTATAAACCATTTTAAATTTTTGAAACCTTAAGAATAATCCAACTGTTTTAACTTAATATTTACGGTTTATAAAAAATTGGTAAAATAATTATCATATTTCCCTTAGGTCAATGTGTTATTTAATGTTTATGAAGTGATTTTTATATACAAAAAGCCGTTTCATAGTTTCCTACAATGTTTCAGATGACTGTTAAAAACACTAACAGAGGTGGCAGATATAAATCTTGAATTAAATACGGAAACCATTAGATCCTGATTAGATTTTTAATGCCAATATTAGCGAACCTGCTTGGTGAAACCTAGCGAATTTAAGGCAGATGGTACGTTTCTTGTTTTTTAGCCGTTCCATCTATTGCCAAGAATACGATTTCAGCCACTCACACATCACAGCCCATTTATAAAGCTGACCCATTCATTCATCCACAGATCGTAATTTTGACCTGAATCCAGAGAATGATCACGATCCAATTCAGTACCCCTAAAGGTTTTGATTGCTTTGGGAACTTGGAGGACTTTTTGACCCCAACAGATTTAGCGTGAACCAGTCAACATTTAATGCACGCGGAGTCTTCGGCTGGTGGGGATCGAACTTACGATCTCTCAGACTTGGCCCACCAACCAAGCTATCCCGACCACCGCTATATCTTTTTCACAGGTTTCATAAGATATTCTAAATACGAACAGTTGATCAACGGCGGGCATTAATTCGCAAACCCGTCTCAGCAAATATCTATTTTACAGGCCGGAGTTATCCAACAGATCAAAGTTCCGAACAGAGAAGGTCGCAGGTTCGAGCTTCGAAGTCGGAAAAACATTAACCCTTATAAACGAATAACATACAAAAGTAAAATGAAGTAAGGCCTATACTTTAGTGGTACCCATGATTAGAGAAATTCGAAGTAGCCGAAAAAATATCACGATTTATAATGTTTTGGAATTGAACTATTTTATTTTGTTTGTAGGCCGTGAGGTACGAAATTGCAATTTTCTTTGTCAATGTCCGTACCTAAGTTTGCCGGCCATATATCGCTACCTGTCATCTTTTACTGTCCTCCATTCTTAATAAGACATTGATAATTATAAATCTAACTTTTTATGTATTTATTACCCTCGTCCTTTTTTTTTTTTTGGTCACCTTTATCATCGAACAGTTCGTTAATATCCAAACTTGTGCAATCTGTAAACTTTTTTTGATCGGTAAGACATGGTTCCCAGCAGATCACCGAAGTCAAGTATCACTGGCTGCGGTCAGTGTGCGGGTGGGTGGCCACTTGGATCAGTCTGCGCAGGGACCGAGGGTGTGCGGTATTGGTCCGCGTTAAACTGTATTACCGTAAAGTGCTCGACTTCGCCTGCAGGTCGTCGGGCTAGCGCGGGGGTGCAATCTCCTCTTCAGAGGTTCAAAATTGTGATGACATGTCTTCGGAACATCCTCAGGGATGTTTCCCAGACCGTCGCCAATAGCCCATTGTGCAACTCTAGTGCGACGTAAATGAACGACAACAACTATAAACTTTTTTACTCCTCTTATTATTTAGATATGTTTGTTCATATTTTAACTAGAACACTCGTACCTGCTAGATCTTATTGTTTTTAATTTGTCTTCTTTGAGTCGCCTGTTACTAAAAGTGAAAATTCAAAATTTTCTCAAGCTTTCACTTTATAAAGTATTTTTTCGTCTGTAGAAATTTCACTTTTATTCTCAATCATTTTATTGCAAAATTAGATTAAACGATTATCCACTCAAAGCAAGCGTGAACAAAAAATGTGCTAAACAAAAAAAAAAACCTCACATTGAATAACTTTTGATCTAATTATCGGATCTACAGGTTCTAAGACACAATCTTAACGGTTCGAGGGGGTGCCTCAAATATGGTAATTATTAGTTCTAGAGAAATCAAATTTTAAAAAGATGATTTTTTTTTTAAATTTGATTTTTTAGAAACTATTCGATCGATATCGATCAAATTTTGTATTTTACCATGTAAATTTACGTTCTTTAAAATGATGTAAAAAAATTTATTCCGTAGTTTTAAAAAATTTTTCGAATGTTTTTATGTTCAATAAAAACAGTAAATATTTTTGAAAAATTATTTTTTGCATGAATAAACGATATTTATAACCATGTGCAAGCATCTTCAATTGACTTAAAAATAGAGCTCTTAGAAATCCGAATTCGTCGAATAAAAGGGAATATTTATTCAGAAAAAGTACGTTTTTTTTTCCGTCTGATTTCGTAACTTAAAATATTACCTACACAAATTAATCAGCATATTTGAGGTCACCCTCTCGAACCATTAAGATTGAACGTGAAGATCGAATTATAAAATCAAAAGTTATTCAGAGAGAATCCCGTTTTTTTTCGCTCTGTACATACATCGATATTAAGGTTTTAAAACGAATTAATTTAAAATGCATCAGATTTTGATGATGACTTAAAAGATTTTTGAATTCAAATCAATTTAATCATTTTAAGATAAATTTTTCTTCTTCTTTTTTTTTAGACATGTACAAGTTTTATAAGATAATAATCAAGATGCTATCCTAACCCTACAATTTGAAACAAATTAAAAACAAGTTGGCTACTTTTAGAAACATAAATTGGCTATTATTACTCGAAGTACTAAATTTAATTTAACTCAAATATACGGGCGACGATCGCGGATGTTGTCCTCTTGAAGCACTCTTGCAACAGCCATTTTGTAAGCCAGGACGGTGAAGGATGTTAAGGCTCCAAAATTTTGAGACCAACAACATGCCAACATTGCGGACTGGTCGTATTTACTTCCCTAACAAAGTGGTACCCATCGATCTAAAGCTGAATGGACTTCGATCCGCTGTCGGGGATAGAACCCTTGACCATCACACTGATTGCTTAGTGCCTTACTGACTGCGCCATCTTGGATTTATGCAAGTTGTTGCTCTTTTACCAACATATACGTTGTATAATAATCTGAGCTCATTTTCTTAAATGAAAAAAAAAATTTTAAAAAACTCTGTGGAACTGAGAGCCGTAACGGGATTGGATTACAAGTCTTACAGCGCTTCAGAGGCCTTTTCTCTCCCCCAATGAACTGAACTGTCGAAGGGGTGTAGAGGGTAAATTCTAAACATTCTTTTAACTTTTTTTTAATATAATTTTCACAAATAAACCGATGATAGATACGTACTTTACTTGGCAGTAGCTCTCGATATAAGACGGCCACCAAGTCACAATTTGAGCTATAAAGCGTGCGGTTATTCAGATTCTCTATTAAATTGTGGCGACAAAAGTATGCCAACACAATTCTGAAATCAAGAGATTTTGATAGGTAGTTAAATATGATATAGTTGCCTGTTTTTAGATTTTTGAAGTATCTTTGTTTTGTATGAAATAAACAAAAGATTTTTTTAGAGTTATCTATATCGGTTATCAGTTTAAACTACAGTAAAAATAGATTTTAAGAAATTTTAAAAACCGAGAAACGTGTAGTTTTAAATTATTTACTCAAAACCACAAAACGCATATATAGCTTAATCCATTAAAATTGTGAACTGTAAGTTCAATAACTGATAATGCATATTGCAAGTTGTGATAATGTGATAAGATAATAAAAATATGTTTTTATTACTCATAATCTGAAACTAGTTAACAACTGTTTTGAGTTTAACAACCTACAGTGACGATTTGATAATTTTAAGACATTTTTACGATTATTTTCAAAAAGTATGACTTACATTTTTCGACCTATATTCACGTAAATGGAATGTTTTTGTAGAACGATTATTTTAATCCACCTGTAGAATAATTTTATAGCCGTCAATATTGACTGTACTTTATCATAAGACAATAATTCTAGGACATTCACAAAAAGTTTCTTCATTCAAAACAGTGTGTCTAGTACAGTATTTTTCTGTTGTTAGTTATACGAGAAGTTTTAAATATGTATTCAAAACTTTACGATAAAAGTGTAATGCGAATTGGCTTTATTGGCGTTGGACGAATGGCGCAAACTTTAGCTAAAGGCATTATAAGTGGAGGTAAGAAAGAAATAGCATATTTTATACTGTCGTGCAATTGAAAAAACAACGTGTTTCAAAATAGATTTCGAGAAAAGCTGTTTGACAGCTATATTTTTTTTTTTTTTTTCGTTTGCAAATACTATTAACATTAAAATAGAATTTCAGAAAACTGATGTTAAAAAAGAAGTGATTCTTGAAAAAAAAGAATTTCATCGACGCGCATTTTATTTAAATTTTATGTCTATTCCACTTAATTACCTATGGAATTGATTTTAAAGAGTCTCTCGATTAAAAAGTAACAACCAAATCGTGAAATATATATTTAATTGTATTATCATATTAATAACTGATATATTAATAAATTATATATATTAATAGCTATTGTATGGCAGTATAAATGCACGTTTCCTTTTATGCATTGTTGAATGTAATATAAAAGATAGTGACGATGCAAATAGCATTGCAAAAAAATTATTTATTTTAACTTCGCTTTTTTTAATTTTCTTTATTTTTTATTATTATTTTTTATTTCCTTCTTTTTTTTTTCTTTCTTTTTTTTCTTTTTTTGGAATGGCGATGTTATAATTTTGTTGTTGACTTAATNTTTTTTTTTTTTTTTTTTTTTTTGCAACTTTGTTTGTGCTATTTTTTTTAAAAAGCAGATCCTTTTAAATATGTGTATTGTAGGATGTAATAAAAAAGTTAGTGATGATGGTGCGCACCTATCTTTGCAAAATGTTAACTTTTTACGAACGAACGATACGAATTACGATACGGACTTTTTGTTGCAACACCGTTGGTATTTCTTTTAAAAAATTTGTCTCTTACAGTTATATGAATATTCTAACGACTTGACATATTTACAAAAAAATGGTTTCGGGAAAAGTGACTTTGAAATTCCACAAAATAATGCTCTAGGCTGAATAGAATAGTCTATTTAAATTATGTTTTATGTAATATCAATCATGTAATGTGTTTTAAAGAAGAATCAGTCCTATAAAATAACCGTGATCAATTCTGCTGTAAAGTGTATCTAACAGTGAGGGCGCGATTCGTATAATCATTGTGCTATACATGGTATAACACATCGTATAAAAAATTCTAATTGTTAGAAATATCCCTGGAAAACTCCATTTTATATGAATCATACGAATGTATCAATTTTAATTGAAATAATTAAATATTGAGATAAAAGTTTTAATTAAATTATACAAAAAATAATATTAATTCTTAGCTTAAATAGTAAAAAGAAATAGAAAATCAAATTTCGGGTGAACATTTGAATTTGTACTGGTAGCTTTAGTTACCTCATACTTAGGGGTGAAGCTACTTTGTTCTATTTATTTTATCTTTAACATGCATGCTTTGAAACAATTCTTAATGCATGCAAGCATAGCGTAAACGTAATTATACAACAATGAATCAATGAAATTGCATAAATGCTCTTGTATTAGAAATTTTTTAAATTGACAGTGTATCAACTTAAATTGAAATAATTTTAGATAAAAGTTACGATTTAGTTATGCAGAAAAATAATAATAAATTTTAACTAAAATAGTAATAAGAAAAAAAAATCGATTTCGGACGAACATTTTAATTAGTACTGGTGGTTTTAGTTACATCATATTTAGAGGTAACTTAAGCCACTTTGTTTTATTTATTTTGTCTTTAACATGCATGCTTTTGAAATATTTTTATTCATGCAAACATAGAGTAAGCATAATTGTACAACAATGAATCAATCAAAATACATAAAAGCTCTTGAATCGAAAAATGTCTTAAATTAAAAAGTAGCTTACGTAAATTCTCTTTTCCGTTTGAAAGTGATTTTTTTATTGTTTTGTTGTGAATTTAACTGTAAGCACTAACATGGGGTACATAAGAGACATGGAATAAGCATAAGAGTCACCTAGGTTTTAAAAGGTGCGAAAAAAGTTTTTTTTTATTAATTTTAAAACAATAAAAGAATTTTTATTTATTCAAACTTTAATTAAGAACAACAGCTGTATATATCAGAAAATTTTAAACAATCAGCTGATTCGAAATGATTTTTAGAACCCTCCGGGCAAAGAAACTTCTCAATGGACCCAATATCGCAAAAATTAATAAACTTTTGCAGATTTCAATGTAAAATTCTGAATTGACTGAATTCCATGATACCTTATAATATTAACAGTATATTTTAATATAGTTTTTGAGCTAATTTGTGATGATATATATTTTTTTATTTTAATTTGCTATTTATTTACTTGAGTAGCAGTACTTTACATCGCACTAGAGCTACACAATTTGCTATTGGCAACAATATGGGAGCATCCCTGAGTCATGCCATCACAATTTTGTTCTTTTACAGATGGGATGGCTTCCCTGCATTGGTATCTAGACGACCTGTTTGTGAAGTCGAGCACTTCATGGGAGAACAGTTAACAAGCATTCATACTGCGCACCCTCGTTCCCTTCTGATCAAAGTGGTCACCCACCCGTTCACTGACCTCTGCCAGCGATGCTTGACTTCAGTGATCTAGTGGAAAAAGTGTCTTACGATAAATCCTCTGCGTGAGCCGTGATGGCTCATAGGATAGCGTTTGCATTCCAATGAGGTGGACCGGGTTCGAATCCCAGCGATGGCTGGTCGATACGAATCCGCATCTGGCTTTCTCAGAACACAGTGGTGACGTGAAATATTCTCAATTTTAGACGGATCATGGGCCAGGGTCCCTTTGCCGTCAGGCTAACCGTGGAAGGTTCTCGTGGTCTTCCTCTCCATACAACGCTAATGCGGGTTAGTTCCATCAAAAAGTCCTCCACAAAGGCAAATTTCTCCCAATACTATATCCACCAGGAGTTCCCTTGTCTTCTGCATTGGTTCAAAATTACAAGGGTATGGAGTTGAACATTAGTAGTTGTAAACCCAAAATTGAGTCGGCTGTTCAACGACGGTTAAGAAATATAATAATAAAATCCACTGTGTGAATTTTTTTTTATTTGAGACATAGTTGTTTAAAAGGTAATCAGAACCATTAAACCAAAGGAATTTATTTTTGTCATTTAATAATAGTGGTTTGTGACTCACCAATTTATTAATATA